AATTTTTTTTTTTTTTTTTTTTTTTTTTGTCCTATGAAGATTACAAAATAAAACAGAAAAGACCACAAACTATTTGCAGACACTGGTAACATTGTATTTCCAAAAACTCATTCATAAAAAAATAAACTTTTAATGGCATAATCTGAACTGTAATTTATTATATCCTTCAAGAATGAAAGGAAAAGTATTTTCTTTCTACTTCACAGTAAAATAATTTTGATTTATTTAAGAAAAGTAATGGGCAGCACACTTAAGTATTTCCATCCTCATCTAAAACTCACATAAAACCAATAAGAGAGGGAAAGAAGAACAATCATCATAGAAATGACCCACCCTTAAAGTACTGTCCTTTAGTGAATTCTACAAAGGTCACTGAAGTCCAAGGGGTCTGCCTTTCTTCTCCTGTCCCCTCTGGGAGGATAAGAAGGTGGCAACTTAGATAGAGGGAGAAGAGGACCCTAGAGCCACCTCAGCTGCAGCTCAGCCCGCTCAGAGGCCAAAGTATGTTTTTTTTTTTTTATTATTAATAGAATAGCTTAAACGCTTACCACAAAGTTGGGATCCTTAAATGGCAAAGGTTTAGCAGCTTTTTCCACAGGTCCTGTGCTAAACTCAGACGACACCATTTTATTCTCACTCACGGCTTCCATGCTGACACCCTTAAAACACAATAAGAAGAGTTTGAGTTCAGCTTCTCCTGGGTTACCCACTTCTGCTCTTAACAAAACAGGACATGAGAGGGAAGACAGTGAGTCCAGAGCTCCAGGACGTAGGCAGTCCCACACGAGGCTCTGCCAGACGAGGAGCAAATGCTCTGCAGAGAGGCCCCCAGAAGACAGGCAGGGCCACAGCTGCCATGTTCCCAGCTGCCCTTTGTGCTGTGCTCAGGGATGGCTGTCCTCATGAGCTGGAATTCCGAAAGCTGCTACAAAGGAGGTGCTCCTCTCCTCACTTTATAGAAAAGAAAACAGGCTCAGCACGATGTAATCAAGGCCACACAAGTAGACCTTTAGATTCAAATCCTGATCAGGACGATTCTAACCCACCATTTCCATCACACCACACAATCCCTACTTCTGCTGATCTTGTCAACTGTGCCTTAAAATATTAAGGCAAAAGGGTCTAGTTCTTGAAGGCTCTAGCCAGCCAGAGAACCCAGGCTGCAGCTGGAATGTGTAAATGGCACAACAGGACATGGGCATTCTGAGAAAGGAAAATGGAGAGGAAGCTAGAAGGCCATAGGTCAGCTGGCTGCAGACAAAGTGCCCTAACAAACCAGCTCATATGCTTTAAAAACCTTTGAGCTAACACTCACAAAGAAACAAACAAAAATATAACTTCTGATTCCTAATACAATTTCTAATCTTCTCATACTACTTTTTTAAAAAACTAAGATACAATTTGTTTTTGGTACTGGGGATCGAACCCAGGTCCTTGCGCTTGCGAAGCTGGTGGCACCAGAACCAATGAGCTAAATCCCCAGCCCTTAAGATACAATTTATACACAGCGAAGTGTACAGCTCTTAAGTGTAGCTTTCCTGAGTTTTCTAAGTGTTTCTACCAGCATAATCCAAATTCCAGCCAAGATGTAGAACAGTTTCTCCAGCCCAGAGATTTCTCTCGTGTCCCTTCCTGGTCAATACCTTCCAGCCCCGGCAACAGACACTGCTTTGCTTTCTACCACATCTGTCTGTTCTAGAACCTCATGTAAATAGAACCTGACATCACGTACCCTTTGTCTGACTTCTTTAGCTCACATAAAGACATCCACATCGTTACATGCATCAGTGGATTGCTTCACTGTATTTACTCACTATTCAGCAGAGTAGAATTCCACTGCATTTATATGCTAAAATTCATCCATTTTCCTGTTGATGAACACCTGATTTATTTTCAGGGTACAGCTATTATAAATAAAGCTGCTGTGGTATGTTTTTATTTTTCTTGGGTGAATATCCAGGAGTGGAGTGATTATGTTATTGGGTAACTGTATGTTTAATTTTATAAGACTGTGTATGTCTCCATGTGTACGTGGGAGCACATGCACACCCCTGTCCCCTCCATGGGATCTCTTAGGGGGAAGGCATTAACTGTTTCAACAGTTCTCTGAATGGGCTCTTGAAACACTGTCCCAGCCTCCTCTCCTCTCCAGGATGTCACCACATGGGTCTGGTCTCCAGCCAGTCTGGAACTTGTGCTACCACTCCTCCGTCTGGGTGGCTTCTCCCCTCAGCCTCCCTCAATCCTACCGTCTTTCCTAACTGCCCTCATACAAAATCTGTGGTTACACTAAAATTGCTCTTTTAAGAGGTAGTGGTCCAGGTGCAAAGAAGGAAGACCAGGCCACTGACCAGAAGGACAAGAGAGGAGTAGTTCTGAGACTTGCCAGTGTCAGAAGATACCATTCTGCCAAGCAGCCTAACTATTCATAAGGGTTTGTCAAAAGACTACACAGCAGGAAACAGACCAATGTCATTACACTATCAGGAGGCCAGGGCTACTGGGTGGTTGGTGGGGATGGGGTGGGGGGATATACCACAACCCTAAGAATCACCCAGGGGACCTCTTGTTAGAAAATTGGGGGGGGGTCACCTAGAGAAAATCCAAAATTTAATCCAGGGAAAACAGGTGGAATGTGAATGAGATATCCGGGGACCAGATACACTTAAGTTCATCTTTATTGTGTGAGTTTCCATAAAGAATATGACTATTGATACAATACTGTTTCCACCGGGGAGAAACAAACTAAACTGCTACAGAAGAACTGCTACAAAGAGGAGACTCTAAGGGAAAATAAAATCCAAGCCTCAAGCCCTTGACAGCATTACTAGGATGCCCCTGGAGTGTGCCCAGCTAGCCCTCGAGCCCCATCCTCAGAGAGTACAATTAGCTTTTCCTTCTATTCTAGAAATGCTACAAGACTGCATTTCTCCCTTTGTTTATTTCCCTCCCATGATTCTTACTAGGGAAGAACAAAGGTGTTGAGTACCTAGTGAAAAGATAGGGGTGCCAGGGACTCTTCTGACACGGCTTTTTTGTCCCCAAGGTCTGAGGAGACAGTGTCAGGCAAGTGAGCTTCCCAGAGGCCACTAGGAGAAGCAGGTACTGCAGCAAGTCAGGCTGGGCTGGACAGTCCGGAAGTTCTGCCAGAGGAGGGTGCACACCAGACATATGCTGACAGGAGGGAGAGGGTGGCAGAAGTTAGCCATGGCAGGTAGCAAGCTAAAGAACAGTCAAGAAGGGAATGAAGGTGATGCACTGAAGCACGGATTTTTCAAGTGGATCTCTTGTGCTGAGGAGCTCACACCATGCTCTGCTCTTCCCTTCTCAGCAGGCAGGCTCCCAGGGAAGCCAAGCTGAAGAAGGGACAGGGGGCGGGCACCTTGATGTGCACTGAGCTGAAGGGCTCCTGCTGGAAAGAGTGGAGGGCTCTCCCGCTTCTCTGATCAGATACATGCCCACATGAGGCCCAGAACTGGTTTTCTCTTCAGCTTTTCTCTTCAACCCACTCCCACACCCATGTTACTCTAGCTCGTTCCTCCCTTCCCCTCGGCTTCAGTCCAGTGGAGACTTCAGTGTCTACTAATGACAGGATGAAAGGGAGAAAAGCTTAGTCAAAGGAAAGATCAAGTTATGAGACTCATATGCAATAAAATAAAATTTAAAATGATGTATAGTTTCCGTATTACGAAAGCACGATTAACACTAAGAGACTTTATGAGATGAACCATCCTGCCCCAAGTCATGAATGCCCTGAGGAGAGGAGAGGAAGTAACGCCTAGACCAAGGGCTGTCCCCACTCTGCACCACTGAGACCTGACTTAACTCCCAGGGAAAAGAAACCTGGCCAGCTTTTTTGTTTTTGTTTTTGTTTTGTACCAGTCAGCACTAATCTGTAAGTTCAGCCCTCTTTATTTTTTCATTCTGAGATAAGGTCTTGCTAAATTCCTCAGATTGGCCCAGAACTTGCAATCCATCTGCCTCAGCCTCCCAAATAGGTGAGACTGCAGACATCACCACACCTGGCCTGCCATGCTATTAAAGAAGCACATGTCTGTCGCCAACAGACTGTAGTCAGCAAGCCTGGGGTCTCAGTCTGCTCTGCCCAACTGTAAAGCCCAAATAAATGGCGCTGTGTCTCCAGACGGCAGCTTGTGTGACTCAGACTCAGACTTCAGGATAACTTGGGCCTTCTGTCTGTGGTTACAGAGAAAGGAAACAAATGTCTTCTGTCTTGTCACTGAAAAATCAAATATCACCTATGTCTGTCTAATAGCATTCTACATTTAAAAAAAAAGTTGGGCCGGCGTGGTGGCACATGCCTGTAATCCCAGCACTCGGGAGGCTGAGGCAGGAGGATCGCTGTGAGACCAGCCTGGGCTACATAGTGAGTTCCAGGTCAGTCTTAAGTACATAGTGAGGGCCTGTCTCA